GCGGATCCCAGCGGCGCTGATAGCCGAAGCCCTGCTGGGTGGCGGGCGCTGGGTGGCGGGCGCAGGGTGGGACAGCCGCCGATCTGGCTTGCAGCCCAGATCTCTGTTTAGGGTTTGTGACGCCCTCCGTCTTCACCAGCCTGCTTTCGTCATTCTCCCGTCCATTTAAAGGGCTCGTGTCTTCTAAGAAAATCGTTTGAGACCTCTTTAAAGATAGTTGATAATCAGGTGGAGTGTCCTGAGTCAAGGGAGAATAGTTTTGGGAATTTCTTGAGCCTCTTGATGGCGAGTGGGCAGCCACTAATTCTGGATCCCACTGTAGGAATTAGGAAAACAATAGGTCTAAGTGTGTGTTTCACATCATCCTGAAATTGACACCCAACCTGAAGATTGTAGAGCTAATCCCCCTGAAATCTTTGCTTTGGGAAAGGACGGAAGCACGAATTCAACCCTCTGTTGTTTTTCTTTTACGGATTTTTAGTGTTCTTTAAGTGTTCAGCTTAATCCTCCTGATTAATTTCTCCATTCATCTTTAATCCCCAGCACCTGGCTAAGTGTTTGAAGCATAATAGGCCAGTTATATATTGTTGAGTGATTGAATAAACCCATTAATGAATATGGCTGGAACCCAGGTGGTCATCCATGATGACAGGTGGCACCTATTTTCCAACCAATGACTAGGCGAGGAATTCTCTTCCTGAAGCTCTGTAGATCCTAAGAACTTAATGAAAAGGAAGCAAGAGTACTTGCAGACATGTGAAGGAGTGACCATGCAAAGGCAATTAGGACACCTACTTCACCGAAGGTGAACAGAGGAGCCTGCTTTAAGTCTTAAAGTTTGATTCAGAGAATTCACCAGGGTGTCCTGGAGTATTCTAGCCAAGGGAACATAGGAGCAAAGAATTGAGGATGAGAGGACAAGTTATCAGTTTGGTGAGGGGAGAGGAAGGGAGCTGTGGACTTCACCAAGTGTGCAGGAATTTGTGGAACCCTTTAAGGAGCTTGGATTCCTCTTTTCTTACTGCAGGCATTGAACTTCTCTCTGAGGCTCTCTTCCTCACATCTAAAACTTTGTTAAGATTGGGTGTAGTTGAATCTGAATCTGTTTCTGGGCAAAGACTGTGAACTAGATTTGCTCTGTGAAGAATTCCAGCAAGGAGGAGAATGCGACAGGTCCCAAAGGGAAGGGAAAATCCCCACCATGGGCTCCGAGGCAGCCAGGTTAGAGGAGTCTTCCCCGTACTGCTTCTTTTGGATGGGAGTGAGTGACCAAGTTCACTGTTCCTGTCATTTCTGTCCACCTACCATCTGACCCCCCCCACCCCACCAAAGGCAGCATTGGCTCTGACTACCTTGTGAGTAGTCAAGCAGATCAATCAGAATTCCTTGGAAAGGTACTGCCAAGGACACAGAAGTCAGCAGGATCCTAGCACTGGCCACAAGCCACAGAAGCCTATTCATGGGTGAGGAAGAGGAAGTATACTAGAGAGACTGAGGAGGAAGCCCCTCAACTTCCTCACTGTTAGACTATGGCACATCACATGTCTGCTGTGGACCTTGGGCAGCTGGGGACTCCTGGCCCTCCACAGTTCTGTGAGCTCTTGGTATAAATGAGCTCTTCCAGGTGGCGGAAAGCACGGGCATTGGTTCAGATCTCCTCTGGGAGAATGTGAGTTAGAAGGCTACCCTGACTTGACACAGCTCCATTCTTACTTCCACTTTCCTCTCTCCCTTTGTGTCCCCTGTGTTGGCTCCCCAGTGTATTCAGATTCAAATCCCTCAAGAGATGGGATCTCAGTAGAGTCAGTTAGTTGCTGTTCAATCTGGAAGTGCTTGTTTGGCAAGGTCTCCTACTAATCTCTTCCCAGGCCACCAGTGAAATTTTGGCCCAGCTAGCTATGCTAGCTAAGATAATGGGTACTATGGGACAAATCTCAGTACAAGGTGGCCTGTGGCTACTTTTCTCAGGAGATGTATGTGTCTGTCCAGCTGTCAGCCCAGTGGTTGTAGTAGAACTGCAACTGGTTGACTCTGTGCTTCGAGGACATTACCTTGCCCAATGCCTTATATGTCATTGATGCTGTCTGTGTTGGGAGCAAATGTCCCAGAATCTTCCCTTTGAGGACACCAAGAGATGGACCTGAACCAGAGATGATGAAACACCTAGCATCAATCATCCCTTTGGAAAGAGTTAGGGCAACATATAGTTCTATTAAGTAAGAGTGTTAGCCTTTTTTCTATCACGGACCCTTTTGGGAGTTGGGTGAAGTTTATGGACCCTTAATTGGAATGTTTTGAAGCGTGTGTGTGTGTGTGTGTGTGTGTGTGTGTGTGTAGTTAGTGCTGGGGATTTAACCAAGGGCTTTGCTCATGCTATGCAAGTGTTCTACTACTGAGCTACATCCCTAGTCGTAGAATGTTTGAATTTAAAAATAATAATAAAGCTATAGGAATAAAAAAGAAACTAAATGATTGATTTTTATTTATTTATGGTACCGGGGATTGAATGTAGTGCCTTACTCAGGCTAAGCAAATGCTCTACCACTGAACTACATCCCCAGCCCATACAATAATGAGATCTAATAGCAGGTCTAATAGATATAATATCAGACTAGAGATGCATATAAATAACAGTTCATGACATCCAAAACTATAATGTGAAAATATTGTGACAAAGAAGTGACAGGTACTTCTGATATTACTGTGGTTTGCTTTCTACACTCAGTGAGATGAAATGAAAAACTATACTTAAGAGGTTATCAAAAATAAAGAATTTTTTTCTACCCACATTCAATGACTGGCAGTTAAAAAGTCCAGCTGTGCAGAATTATGTGTCCCTAGCAATGCACTATGTTCTAGGGGAGAATCCAAAATCATGTGAGGGGTAAGGGTGGGGCTCAGTAGTAGAGCACTTGCCTAGCGTTCAAGAGGCCCTGGGTTCAAGCCCTAACACTTCAAAAAGAAAGGAGAAAAAAAAAAGGATCAACAGTAGATTTCTAA